GTGAAGTTTATGTAGTTTAAATGAAACTGGATTTATGAATTATTGTCTGTGACAGCCACATTGTTTTTAAATGTTAGTTTATTTCACATCTTGTTTGTGTGCAGGCTCCTCATGAACACGATAAACACAGCTCCTTTGTGAGCGTCATGGCACAACAAACCTCTAACAATCAAACTGAGGCTTTTTGATTTTTTTTTTTTGTGTGCTTCCTGCAGTGTAGAAATGACCCACTCTTCCCCTTCAACCTGTTGCTCTTCTCCGGGAGCAAAAGCACTTTGGACTAGCTTGACCTCCCTCATCTCGAAGTAAATGTCACAAAACCAAACGAGCACATGACAACATCCTGGACTGACCACACAGGAAGGGAATCACTTCCCAGGAAACAAGGTTGGAGCTGAGATCTTCCTGCTTCAGGGCTTTAATGCTTACATTTTGTTTATATATTACCATATTTATTATTTGTTCAGTTCTCCTTTTCTGAACGATAGAATGGGAACAATATTGTTGAATGGTGGACTAATAATAATGAATAATAAATGAAGAATGAATGTTTTTCTAGTTTTCAAGATGAATGTTTTTCTGGGAACAGGGAATGCAAATAAACCTTAATGTTTTTGGTCCAAGATATTCAGTTATACTGAGTATAAATAGAAAGACAGTTTTTAAAACTTCACCATTAGGCGCAAAGGTGGGGCCATGGGGTGTCCAGAAGTGGCCTTGGCCCCCATAGAATAATCTTCGGCCACCCCACCCATGAGCATTTGAGGAAACAATATTTTTAAGCAATATAAAAACTAAAAAGCATAGTTTCCTCAAATGATGTAAGTGGCCGGTTAAAATATATATTTAAGGTGGTGGTCCTCTCGGACGTTGATTTGCAACACAGTTTTTTAAATTGATTTTTTGTAGATCCAAATATAGGCACACACCAAACTGGAAGTTGGCACGTTACTTCTTTTTCAAGTTATCAAGCTCACGATGTTAACATATATACAGATAATGTGACAGCCATCTTGGATTTTCACATAGCAATCCAATTTTTGAAAGGATCTTTTCCTATGCCTAGATGTAGCCACACTAGAGCTGTCGATTCTAACCCAAACCTAAACCCCGGTCCGGATCAACCCGGATTAGAGCTGGTCCAGGCCGTTATAATGTGATTAATGTGTGGGCCGGGCCGGTCGCAGGCTTTGATGTGGTTTTACGAATCATACAGCAGAAATAAAACTAAGAATGCACAATGTAAAATTGTGTTAATCTACTTGTAGAGGAGGAGGCAGGCCTGACCGGCCGGTTTAAAGAGGTTTTAAAAAGTTGTGTTACGCTCAGATGGACACCTGATCACCGGCCGCGAGCGTCCGATGACTCGCCGGTTGAAATGGACTTGCGATCTGTCCAGGGTGTACCCCACCTTTCACACAGTGACTGCTGGACATGGGCACCAGCAACCCCCGCTACCCGAAAAGGAAGAAGCGGGTAAAGATAATGGATGGATGGATGAATCAGCTGATTGCCGGCTGCGCGCGTCTCCACACCTGCTCTCATTGAAGGAAGTAACAGAATCTACAAAAGCTGAAGCGAGCAGTGCATTCAATTAAAATAGCCTTGTTCTATATTTTTCAAAAAAAATTTGCTCTAAAAATATTTTTGTTCATCTATATAATAGTCCATCTTTAGAGATTTTTTTTAGGCTCTTCGTTTTGTATGTTAATATCCATTTGGTGACTTGTTAATAAAAATAAATCTTATATCTTCTTTTCATTATGTTTTTAAAACTATCATGTCAAATTGATTTGCTTACAAAAGCAGTAAAAGCTCAATTAAAAAAAAAAGTTGTTTTTTTATTTTTCAGGTTCGGTCCTCTAATTACTGGTAATCCGCTGGGTCTGGGTAGAGCTCAGAAAAACAAAAAACTACAGGCTCGGTCCGGGCCGGATTTATTAGGCCCGAATGCAACTCTAAGGGTGCATTCACACCAGCCCTGTTTAGTCCGCTTTAATCGAACTCTAGCTCGTTTTCCTAGAAAGGCCGGTTCGTTTAGGGAGGTGTGAACGCGCCATCGAACTCTGTCATGGAACAAAAAGGCGAACTCTGGCCCGGGCTAAAACCTAGGTCTCGGTCCGGTAGAAACGAATTCCAGCGTGGTTCGAGTACAATGTGAATGTAAACAGACCGGACCCCGCTCCGCAGGGTAAACAAACACGTTTCTCTGATCTTATATGGAGCCGTCAGCTGCCTTGTGTGAAAAACAATATTCTCCATGGTCTTCTGTCTCATCTTCTGCTCATGCCGAGTCCATTTTTGAAAAATGACAAAATATAACTCCTAAAACTGCTAAAACTTGATGCCACTTCGTTTTTATTTTTATTTACAGAAGAAGAAGAAGAAGACGTGTCTTCAGAGGTTTTTGTGTCGTTTCTTTCAGTAGTTCTTGGTGCAGCGCCCCCACAGGCGAGCGGGGGAACAGGTTGGTTCAACAGGTTGGCTCGACTGCACAGTGCAGTGTGAATGCAAACGCACCAGCTCAAATGTAAACAAAAGCTCATGAATACTGGTCCCGAACCGAGTCTACCGGACTATCTGGTGTGAAAACGACCTAAGCCACACACAAAAGTGGACATTGGACCTCATCTACTTTTCAAATGATCATGCTCACAACATGGATAGATAGACGGACAGACGGGTGGTATTTCCAAGTTCCCCTCTTTGGTCTGTGACAGGGAACACCATAGATTGTATGACTAAAATAGCATCTTTTAAGAGTAGAAGATTTTACAGAGTAATGTTAGATTTAAGTATGTTCTGTGAAGTGTTCAAAAATAAAGTCAGAAAGTTATGAAATGAAAACTGGATTTCTACAGATGAATGTTTGCTGTTCAAGTAGGAGGAAGTTCTTTGTTATTCTTTATCCTCAGGATGACCACTACAGCTAATCAACATCAGCCAACATAAAAATGGCTTTAAATCAGTCAGTTCTTTCAGATATTGAGCTAAACTTTAATGTTGTAGCAGCTGAGTCATTCCCAACACATACATGTACTCTGTGGTACATCTTGCATGATGTTACTATCATGGTTTGACCAAAGTGACTACTGCTCATTTCTCATCATTACATGATCTCAGCTGGTAACTTCGACATGAAAGGCAGCGGACGATACACATTTCTTTAAGGAATACTAGGCCCTAAATTATCTGTAGTTGTTGTTTAATCTCACATTTGTAGTGGACTAGGCCCATGTCAAAAACTAAGTCTAAGGTCAAAAATCTTGACCTTAAGAACCTTGTGGGACAGGAACTGTCATTTCATTGATTTGAATCCAGAAATACAGGTTCACCCATCCTGAGACTTTCTCTCTTGAAGATTCAAGTGAAAAGAACACTCTCTGTTTTATTATCATTACTATTTTACAAATGTTGATAATCAAAGTGTCTTAGTTCAAACCATTTTAGATGTTGCAGTGAACTAATCAATTTTATTAACTGTGTAATGATTTTTTCTCACGCAAAGTTAGAACTCATGTCAAAGCTGTTACAGAGTAATTATGCCTTTTCTGATTTCTGCTTTTGAATGAGCAAGTGTAAGTTGGTCCAAGGTTGGAGTCAAACGCAAAACAAGTTGTTAGAACGAACTGTCATGTTTTTAGAATCCTCTCAGACGTAAATATAGAGGTTTTTGGCACCTGTTTCTGAAACGCGCCAAAACAAAACTCTCTCTGTCTGTGAGAACATTTCTGATCTTTCCATAACAATTCTTGCTGTCTTCTAACCTCTTACGTCACAAAACACACCCCGTCTGGTTGTTTCTGACCAATGGGAATACTCCCAAAAGTGAACCGGAAAACAGTTCTTTAAAATGTCAGTACTTCCTGGTCTACTCGGTTCTGCTCGAGATCTGTAAACTACACAGTTCTGTTAGAAGTTCTGGGATGGTGCTGGAACAGTTCTGGGACAGTTCTGTTCAGTTCTGATGGAGTGCTGTTGGAGTTCTGCTGGATACACAGTTCAACCAGTTCTGTGAGAGAAGCCCAGTTCTGTGAGAGACGGGATGATCCTGACATGACAACAGAGCTCTTCCGAGTTCCATGGGATTATAACATTTTCACTCGCCATTACTTCTGACGATTCACAGCATCCTAAGGAGACGCTGGACAGGTAGCGTTAACGGAGCTCCATATCTGCTGAGATAACCTCAGAAAGGTAACGAGTCAAGTTTCCTACCAAGCGTACCGGGGAGAGCTGGGTTCTGACGGAGAGTGTCAATTCTGGTGAACACTTCCCCTCCCATACCATCTTTACTCCCTCTAAACTTCTTTCCCATCTTTAAACTTTTTATCAAGTAGAAATTCTTCCAGATATTTAGAAATGTCTGTGTAAAATGCTCATCCACATCCGTGTGGGTAAAAGATCATAATTGTACAGTTTCATAAATGTCTGTGGTGAAGCAACGGAAAAATCATGGCCGTATGATTTTTCCTGATTGATTGCTTATGTTGTTATTTTCATAATTTGCCAAATTAATGTAAATGTTTGATGTTAAATTTTGATTCTGTAAATAAATGACCGCATTCATTTTGATGGGTCAAATATAAATGACGTCTCACGTTTGCATTTCCTTAAATTCAATGCACGTTTTATTCAGTCCAGAAAAATGAGGAATCCGTGTTAATTGATGAATATATCTGAGCATCTGTTCATCTACACATTAAACATGAGAGAAATATATTTTAAAAATATTTTAATGAATGTCACAGTTTACAACATCCCAACATCACTTTTGTCTTGATAAGTAAACTGGTTACCTCTTGTCCCTACAGTGTGTGTATCTGCGTTAGAACAATAAGCCCGAAGGTATTGGGGTCAGGGGAATCAGATTCTACACTAGTACACAGACACACACGCACACACATTTAATTAATCAGCTTAAACACACACACACACACACACACACACACACACACACACACACACACACTCAATCATATTAGATGAAATTGACTCACCTGGCCAGTTTGCTGAGGCCCAGGACTCTCTTGTTTGGGAGGTAACCAATATGGACCTGAACAGGTGAAACATTTGAAACAATTAATGTCACAAAGTTAGTGTTGAACACTGCATGAGACGTAGTGAAACCTACACAGTTCAAAGAAAATGAGAAATAATTCATAGGGATAGAAAATGTAAAGAATCTGTCAGATGTTGAGGGTAAAGTCTTTAGGCAGGAACCAGGAAATGGCAGAAGTTTGAAGTTCTGCATTCAGGCTCAGATTGACTTCTTATGAAGAAACAGAGATGTGTTTAACTATGAACTCTTGTGGAAACAGGTGTAGCAGGAGGAGACGTTTTACAAACAGGGTCAAAATGGATCAGACTGGGCTAACATCAGTGGAACTATCTTTAAAATCATCTTTGGCTGCTTTTTTCTTTATTTCTGTCTACTCCTTGTACCTGACCATGACAATATTCAATTAAATTCAAAAATACTTTATTAATCCCAGAGGGAAATTAAATGTTGTGGTAACTCATCATCCTGGTTTCATTAAAGAGTTGTTATAGATGCTGATGGCTGTGGGCAGGAAGGATCTCTTGTAGCGTCTGTCCTACAACAGATTTAAAGAAGCCTCTGACACTCTGTTGTTGTATGACACTCTGTTGTTGTATGACAGTCTGATGAAGAGGATGCTGAGGATTGTCTATAATGTTCTTCATTTTATGAAGAAGCCTTCTTTGTATAATCATCTCCAAAGGTTCTAGAGGAGTCCCCAGAACTGAGCCAGCCTTCTTTATGAACTTGTTGATCTTTTTAAGTCACTTGCTCTGGTGCTGCTCCCCCAGCAGATGATGGCTGAATAGATGGCACTCTCTACAACAGACTTATAGAAGATATGCAGCATCTTGCTGCAAACATTGAAGGACTTCAGCTTCCGCAAGAAGTACAGTCTGCTCTGTCCCTTCTTGTAGATGCTTCACTGTTGCATCTCCAGTCCAGTCTATTGTCCAGGTGAACTCCAAGGTATTTATACTTCTCCACCACCTCCACTTCTTCTCCCATGATGGAAATAGGGTTGGACCTGTTCCTGATTCTCCTGAAATCTACAATCATCTCCTTTGTTTTGTTCACATTCAAGATGAGATGATTGTTTCCACACCATGCCACAAAGCGGTCCACCAGTTCCCTGTACTCAGCTTCTTGTCCGTCTCTGATACACCTGAGCACTACAGAGTCATCAGAATATTTCTGCAGATGACAGGAGTTTGTTTTGTATTGGAAATCAGAGGTGTACAGAGTGAAAAGGAATGATGAGAGTACAGTCCCCTGTGGTGCTCCTGAGCTACTGACCACCTGAGGTGACACACAACACATTGTGCAGTTTGTGTTTAAAGTAATGAACAAAGTGGACAATAAAAAGTCAGGCTTAAAATGATATCTGTTTCAGAAGAATAAAATTGTGTCTTTAGGAAAGAGAGAACAAAATGCTAAAACTTGAGAGATGTGTCATCTGTAATTTGATAATTTGCCAAGTTTTCAGCTAACAGCTTGTTAGAGATAAAACCCTTAATTCTGTCAAACACTTTCCTTTGATATTTTTCATTGATTCAACTAAAGAAATAGGGACAGATGTGTCTTTGGGACAAACATTGAAAATAAAGAGCCATCCTTTCTCTTTAAATGTGATCAAGTTGCTAAAGCAACAGGCACAGGAAAGAAACCCAGGCATCCAAGATTTATCCTTGTGATACCAAAGCATCCCTGTGCCATAAATAATATGATTATTCTAAGTCCTGGGACTACCTCAGGCACCTCTTTCATTGGAACATGCCCAGAAAACCTCCAGACAGATGCATCCCAGTCAACTGCCCGAACCACCTTGCATGACTCCCTTCATTGCGGAGGAGCAGCAGCTCTACTCTGGGCTCACCCTGGATAATGAAGCTCCTCACCTCATCTCTAAGACTGAACCTGGCCATCCTACAAACTATGCTCATTTCAGTCACTCGTATCTTGATCATGATCAAGACAGTAGATAGGTATTGGAACATAGATAGACCAGTAAAGAACTTTGCCTTTTAGCTCAACTTTTTCTTCACTGCAATAACCCAGAACAATGCCCTCATTACTGCAGACAAGGCCCCAATCTATTGAACCATCTTATGTTCCCTCCTGCCATTGTTAAACTCAATTCAATTCATCCATCCATCCATTATCTTAACCCGCTTATTCCATTTTGGGTCACGGGGGTCGCTGGTGCCCATAGTCCAGCAATCACTGTGCGAGGGGCGGGGTACACCCTGGACAGGTCGCAAGTCCATCACAGGGCCACATAGAGACAAATGAGACAAACAAACATTCACTCTCTCACTCACACCTAGGGACAATATTTAGAGTTACCAATCAGCCTAACATGCATGTTTTTGGTCTGTGGGAGGAAACCGGAGCACCCGGAGAAAACCCACACATGCACGGAGAGAACATGCAAACTCCACCCAGAAGACCCCTGGACCGGGGTTTGAACCAAGGACCTGCTCGCTGAGAGGCAGCAGCCCTACCAGTTGCGCCACCGTGCTGCCCCAATTCAATTCATATAAATTCTATTCAGTTTTTTCATATAGCGCCAAATCACAACAAAGTTTTCTCAGGGCACTTTACAGGAACATCCACATACATCTCATGAAGTCATCACTACTTATAGTTGTTGAATACATGGTTCAACAGAGAGGGGACTTTTAATTACTGTAGTTATAGGGTTATTTTTATTCTCATCTATTAAAGATGAATAATATAAAGTTCTAGATTTACGGAGAGCTTTCTCATAGCTTTCTTAGCAGACTATCTTTCCAAGTTAAATAAAATTCTTCAACATTAGTAGAGCGCCATTTTCTCTCCTGGTTTCTAGATGCCTGCTTTAAAATATGTAACTCAGAATTGAACCAAGGAGCCAGTTTCCTCTGATCGATTACTTTCTTTTTCAGTGGAGCAATTTTATTAAGTGAAGTTTGCATTGAAGTTGTAAGATGATCAACTAGATGATCTAAATCACTGTTCTCTGATGCATTACTCTGCAAGACAGAGGAAAACATTGATGGAAGAGATCGTTTAAATTTGGTTACAGCGTTTTCTGATAAGCACCTGCTGAGATGAAATTTACTCTCAGTGACTGTGTAGTCATTTAATGTAAACTCACAGGTTATTAAAAAATGGTCGTACAGAATAGGATTTTGAGGTACTGTTGCCAAGTCCTTAATCTCTATGCCATAGGTCAGAACTAAGTCAAGGGTGTGATGATAAGAATGAGTAGATGTGCAGACATTTTGGGTAAAACCAACTGACTCTATTAAATTATTAAAGACTATACTTAAGCTATCACTTTCAGCATCTACATGAATATTGGTATCACCCATTATTATGACTTTATCAGTATTTAGTAATTAGTCAGTTAAGAATTCTGAGAATTCAGACAAAAACTGAGAGTAAGCGCCTGGTGGACAATATATAACAACTAGTAAAAGTGGCTTTCCTGATTTCCATTTTGGATGAAAAATCCAAGGGACAGTGATTCAAAAGAATCATAACTAATAACTGGTTTGGCATTAATCAATAATCCTGACTGAAAAATATAAGCTACTCCTCCACCTTGGCCAGTTGTTCTAGTTCACAAACAAAACTCCCAGATGCATGAACTCCTTAGCTTGAGGCAGACTCATCCCAGACCAAAAGGGAGCAGTCTATCTGGGGAAACAGCACCACCAGCCTGAGCAAGAAAGCACATCAGAGACTCTACTTCCTCAGGCAGCTAAGACGAACTGGACTGGGAAGCTCAGTCCTAACCTCCTTCTACGAGAAGGGGTTCTCTGCAGACCAAAAGTGGGCATTTCTGGAGAATAGCTGTTTGTAGGGAGCAAATACTGATTGGCTAGCTGTATTTGCTAGCACTTTAGGTAAGTTACGTCAGCTCTTTTTTATAACTGAAGGTTTCTAAAAAACAGCGTTATATCTACTGTCAAACACAAGAAGATTCTCTTTTGTTCTTGGGTTGTAGGCTGCACCTGACACAGGTTGGCTTGAGTGTGGTCTGGGTACAATGAAATATGAAGCATCTGAAGCGAAACCTGCTCCCATTTGACAAAAAGTCTGGTCTCAATTAAAAATCATGAGTCCTGTAACAAGATAATGGCCCAAAACAAACGCTAAAAACAAAATTTGCTCTTTAGAAGTGATTTTCTATGAGATATGATGTATGAAAGGAGTTGAAACATGGAGTAGGACTGACCCTTAACATGTGAGACCAGTGAGACCACTGAGGAAGTTAACCAGTAAGCAGAAATATCTGCTCCAGTTGCAGAAGTCTTACAGAAACTGACAATCACTCATCTGCAGTAACTGCTTAAGGTTGCACAAGAAAATGTCAAGTTAAAGGAAACATCCTTTGTCCCAAAGCCAGTTTAAGTATCATTATTATTTTGGTTACTTTATTTTTCTTTCTTTATGAATTGATTGTAAGTATTTTCACATTATTCAACAACCAAAATGGATTTAGGTTTTTTTTTATATAATTGATAGATATTAAAAAAAAAAAACATTTAGCCCTCCCCATTACCCATTTATGTTGCTCTTATTTTGAAATGTAACCGGAAGTTCTGTGTCGAGAGGCGGAAAGAGAAGTTATGGAGATGCCGCTAATGTCGAGCCGGACACACCGCTAATATCGAACCGGTTAACACCATAAACATAACATGCCTGTGGTTAACACAATCTGCCAATAACGCCTTGTCTTCAGACACAATATGCCTGTGGTTAACACAAACGCCTTGTTTTTTATCGTCAAGCCTTTTTTTTTTGGGTCCAATCAGATGTGGCCCCCCAGATACGCTTATTTTTCTATTGTCCAATAAGATGTGGTCCTCCAGACACGCCTTTTTTTCTATCGCTCAATTAAATGTGGCCCCCTGGATACGCCTATTGTTTTGTCGTCCAGTCAGATGTGGCCCCCCAGATATGCCTTCCATATTTGTCTGCAGAGATACTTACTTGTCTTATACAGGTGTGCAGTGGAGCGCATC